AACCTGAACGGTTTTGTGGGAATATCAATCTAAGGTGCCATAATGGTTCTGATGAACGGCAAGTAAATGAATGAATGTTTGGAAACGAGCAATATCTTTTGGTAGAGCCTGTCATCAAGTAGGTACTTAATGGCTATCTGCAAGAGGTTTATACGAAAAAACACCCAGTATCACATATCATTTGACGAAAATAATATAAACATGAATAAAAAATCAACAATAGTAATTAAAACATGAATTTAATTCAAAAATCAAACATTTCTTAAAATTTTGACTGAATTATGTGTAATTTCTTAATATTAAATAAGCTGGTAATGTTTCAATGACAAGTTATCATCTCATACTTTGACAGTATTTTGTTTTCAATATTTCATAGCCATTGGTTGCTAAAATTTGTTGATTGGAACTTGAAGCTCATTCGCTGTATCTGACGGTCTGTTACCCTATAGGTGGAGAATAACGGACTGTTGTTGGTGAAATTGGGCCTTAGACTTTTGAAGAACACGTTTTATAGCTTACTGTAAGTAGTACAAACGGGAGCAGTCTCACAATATCAGCATTTGTCAATGTTGGATTTCACATTATATAATACATTGTACTATTTTTGATCGACTGACTTTTCCAAGAAAGGGCATTGATTTAAGATATTAGGTGCCGTAGCCTATCACTTAAGTTGACGTATGTAATCGTGCCCAGAAAGCAGCGTGTCATATCATCGGTTTGAAATATTTGGACGTCTGTCTAATTTCATTGCAATATTGTATTTTCTATAAAATCGAGACGAAGATGTGAAATTGTGATTTGCTATCAAATTCGTGATATTAAGTTTCAGTATTAACTTACCTTTTTGTTTTTATTCCTCACAACAAATGGTACTTTCACTAGGGGTGGGTCGCAACAGAAAAGAATAGCTGAAATAGGTTGACGCGACCAGAGCAAAGTTTGGGAGCCACCGCCATAGGCTTATGAAATACACAGCGTTGAAAATAATAAACAATGTCGCAGAATCCCCATATGTATCGATATAATCTTGTTCAAGCGCGAACAGACTACACGTTTTTAGTTTTTATTGAAACGTAACGATAATTTATCTGTATTTTCGTGAAAGCAGCAAAATTTACATTTACATATTGTAACTTACGAAAGCGTATTGTTTTTAAATTTAAACTTTCACGCAAAAAACCTGTACGTTTGTAATAAAATTGCAGATGCGATAGCCGCATAGCGATAAGCTAAATCCAATGTAACACCTACAATGCAATAAAAATGTTGAAAATGCACGCCGGGGATATATGTATGAACAGCACGGTATGTGTACAATGTACAGGGTGTTGGACCTCAAGATCCTGCAACGGGGTTTTTGCAATAGACCAAGTCATTAAGCCTAGGTCATTCCATAAAGTTTGATATTTTGGCCATAAATAAAATATATTCTTTGGATGTTATATGACATGTACATCACGAAAAACTGTTCATTGATTTCCGTCAGTCTATCAGTCTGTCTGTTGGTCTATCCGTCCGCTAATCCTTGGACCATCTATAACTAGTACTGCTCAAATTTTGATTTAACTTTCACGCCAGGTCACTACTATGTTAGGAACGAAAGAGATTTGTTCAATATGAAAATGGTTCCAGTGGCGGCAAAAAACGAAAAAAATTGACGCTTCATAGGCTCCTGAAATTTTCTGGAATAATCCTGGTAGGGGTTAAATATTGGGGGTGGGGGAGTGTATATCACAAATTTTTGTTGGTGGTATATTCTAACTCTACGCACCTATTAATACATGCATCGTACAACATATATTTCCCCGTACATTTGCTGTTTAAACTTGGAGACATATCAAACGGACGTGTCGCGTCTAGATCACACCTGCTGTACGCTACGAACTCAGGTGGCGAGAAGATCCTGCATAATCTCTCGCCGCCACTGCACGAGCTGGCGAGCATAGCATGGCTGACGTTGCCAGATGTATACGTACAATACTTTCAGTAACGCCGGAGAAGAAATTCCTAGATCGCAGCGGGTAAAACTATGTAAGGGCCTGTTTGGCTCACTTGATTCATTAAATTTTTTTTGTGTTACACATGATGGTAGTTCAATTTTTCTTTATAATAATAATCCTTTATAAACGGATGACAGAGTTGCGTGTGAAGGGAAAAGTCAACTTCACGCCAACTTTTTCTGTAGAAATTTCCACATGACGAAAATTTCATGATTGCATAAAAATATTTCGAGTTTTTTTTTTTTTTGAAGGAATTTTGCATTATGCAGAACATTAACATTTGTCTGTTAGCACTGCTCAAATAATTTGTCAAATAGTATTTGAATGTTGCTAATCTTCTCCTCTACATTTCCCACATGTTAAAATGGTAACTGTTTTCAAAATGCACTGCATTTTCTGATAAATAGAAAGCACACAACACCCCGTATAGTTCTGTGTACGCAAATTCGTGGTGCTTTCAGATATTCGGTAAGTTGTGTGGATGTGATGGTCGGCTTTCACGTATTCAGTATGTGCATACAAGGTATTTTTCCAATACGAAATTTTTCATTCTTTTTTACATTCTTTTGTTTCGCAACTCGAGAGGTAAATAAACCACAATGGAATATTCCAACACATTCTGTGTATGTATCTATATTTGGAAGTCCAATACACTTTGCGTAATATTCTGAATATGTGCATGTCCTATAGTGAACCTAGCTTTATTGCTGATTATTTTAGCTGAAAATGACCAGAATGCGAAATAGGCCTTGCCAAAAACTGACCTTGTTTGGGAAAGACTTATACTACAAAAAAATTATATTAAGGGTAAATTAAAAGTTACTACATAAGAAGTGGACAAAATTGATCGATACCTTTATTGTTTAATGTCAAACTTGAGGGAATATGGGAAAAAGTTATGTAGTATTGGAATAAGTGGACTTCAGAAAAGTTGGTAGAAATAGAAATATCTTTGAAATGAGACCCTACCGGCTTATTTTTATATACCCTAGATTGGTGTAACAACTCTGATGTATCTCCTTTGACGTCCCAAAAACCCCTTAGTAGCAGCTTAGCGGCACTGATTGGCTTACCATTTGTTATAAATTCCTCATTAGAAAAATAATTTTGCTTAATTTTCTTTATAGATTATACTCAGGATGTTCTTTGATATTCCTATTAGTTACTAGTTATTTGGGAATGGCTATTTTCTGTTTAAAAGTTTAGGTATTTTGTGATATTACCATTTAATATCAATGTAGTTGCCATAATTTAACGTTTTGCTCGCGGTTGTAGGATTCAGCTGTTATCTGATTCGATCATTCTAATCATATCATCTGGGTCTCTGTTCTCAATGTCATTTATAAAAATATAAAGGTCTAGTACAGATGTATTTCAATTCAAGAACTGCTGTCTATCTGTAAAATGTGTGATTCAAGATAATTATGTGAAATGCAGCCCATACATGCATTGTTGTCAGAAGTATATAACTTGAATGTATGATTTGTGTCTATTTTGTTCGCTAGGGAGCAAAGGGTAACGTCTAAGAATGACGAGTACCTACCTGATTTAACGTTAAATAAGAAACACAAATAACATTACAATGTAATGTTTAATTTGCACGCATAAAATAAGAAATTAAGTATCATATTCACTTATTCTGTCAACTGCTGTTTCAAAATCCGGCGTCGTCAATCGCAGTTTATACAAGTTTCGACAAGTCACAACATGAAATCCGCGCACCTCCGCCGCGCTCCGCTTAACATTCATCACTTAGAAAACCATTGTGTATCTACCAGTCGCGGATGAGCATCTGTGACATTCATTCCCACAAACTTGCGAAAAATTTGACGTTTCGATGTAATTGTTTTATTGAGAAATCTGTTTGAGTGTGTCAAATTATTGTGTCTCACTGTTAAAAGGTAAGTTTGTGTATTGACAAACTTCAGTTACCATTTTTATTTAATTTACTAAATTGTTGATTGATTGGAGACGCGTTCATAGATCGGCCATTGGGGCTTTTTTGCCACATCACAATCAAACCCATGTGGGAAAATAATTTTGAAACGTCGAACTCTAAGTACCTAATATTGATTCCAAATATACTATTTAAAATTACTATTATAACGTCAACCTGCCTACAAAAATATAAATCTCCCGGTAGCCGATATACTGTTGAATACATTACGTTATTAAGATAAAATAATGGGCATATAATTAGTAATTACATGTAGGTATTTTGTTTATTTATTTATTACTTATTTGTTTTATTGTTATGGGTGCAAAATGGCAGCGATGAAAAAAGAATTTTCCTAAGGTTACGTTAAGTTTGGATTTACCTTCATAGAAAAAGACGAGTTACAATTGCCTCAGTGTGTGATATATATAGCATGGGGCCCAATCGCCTTGAAACACATTTGAAGCAACAACATCCTACTCTGGTGTTGAAGACGAAAGAGTTTTTTCTTCTAAAGCAGAATCACTCAAGCAGATGAGACTGGATAAATCGGGAAGTTATCACACAGGTGTATCGCAGCATCTCAAAGCATCATTTCAAATAGCTTTTATGATAGCAAAGCAAAAGAAACCTCATACTATGGGTGAGGAATTGATAAAACCATGTGTCCTAAAAGCCACGCAGACGATTTTAGGAGAAGATGCAAAGCAAAAAATGAAGTCTATTTCTCTTTCGAATGACACAGTCAAACGTGGAATCGATGACATTGCAGCAGACATAAAAACACAAATAATTAACAAAGTAAAATTATCGCCATTTTTTGCCATTAGTTGCGATGAATCCACCGACATCGTTAATTGTGCACAGTTAATAGTATGTTCGTAATGTTCGTTACATCGGCGGAAATTTCATTCAAGAAGAGATTTTGTAATTTGTAATCCCAATCTTTGCCAGTAGGTACTTCATCTGAAGATATATTTAATTCAATATCAAATTTTGTTGAAAAAAATTATTTGGATTAGAAGAAACTCTTTGAACTTTGCACAGATGGCGCACCTGCAATGATAGGTGTACGATGGGGTTTAGCTAAAAAGCTCAAGGAAAGAAATCCCGCAACACATTGTGTTATTCATCGGCAAGCTTTGGCTTCCAAAACATTGCCGCAGATATTGTACTTGGCTATAAGTATTGTAAACTACATCAAGAGCAGCGCTTTGAACAGTCTGTTATTTACTTTACTTTGCGAGGATCTCGATTCTGATCAGTTCTTCTGTTCCATACAGAAGTACGCTGGCTGTCCAAAGGCAACAAGTTGGCTCGCCTTTATGAATTGAAAGAAGTGGTAATTCTTTTTCTAGAGTTCAAAGAAAAACACGATTTCTTGACAATGTTCAAAGATGACACATTTCAATGGGGGTGTGGCTTATTTAACTGACATATTTGACTCATTGAATGAGCTAAACTTGAAACTTAGGGCAGAAACAACACTGTAATAAGCAATTATGATTATATTAAGGGTTCATATCAAAACTTCAACTTTGGAATCAAAAAGTGTCTTCTGAAAATGTTACATCTTTTTCTCGGCTGTTAGAAGCAATTAAAAATGACATACCGGACGCAAATTTAAAAGCTGACATAAAAACTCATTTGCAAGTGCTGGAAGACGAATTTCGCCAATACTATCGAGACATCAAATCAGAGTCACCACTATGGCACATGACAAGAAATCCATTTGTTGTCGACGTGTCACAATTACCAGGAAAAGTTCAGGCAGAATTTTTAGAAATGCAGGCTGATTCGTCCATGAAAGATGACTTCCATCTTTAAAGAAATTTTGGATCAAAAGATTACCTGTTAATTCGACACTTACCTTTCTTGCTTTACGAATACTAGTTCCTTTTTCTTCAACTTACTTATCTGAGGCAGGCTCATCTGCTCTCTCATTACCCTCGTTACTCATTGTTGTTACTCGCCGTCTTTCCTTACTGTTAAGTAAAACTCACTTGATCGCAACCTTTCTCCAGAATGAATAACCTTTGTACTTGTCACTGTGCCATCTGTGGAATGGGAGAGGTGGCAGCACGCGCGACTCTCTTACCACGGCCAACTCGATACCCATTCAATTACCTGTGGTAATTAAAACATCCGAGCATCGTAATGAGCGAATCGTGACACAGCTCTTCGCTAACAATCGAATAACGACATGTGTTTTATTCCCGCGGTACAACCATCCCCGCCTATGGCGTATTATGTAGGAAACCATGCAGTGAGGTGATAAAACACAAAAAAATATCTTCTGTAAGGGAAAACATACCGTTTGACAGATGTGTTCCTGTTTATAGTATAAGTGCACACCGTTGCAGCTTGTGAAGGTAAATCTTGTAGAAGGCAGGTTCAAAATACGACGAATGCACGTGATCCAATGAGCAATCAGGCTTGGGTCTTTCGAATAGATCTCACACTTTTAATAATGTATAGTTGCTATGCTTTCGATCGTTGTCGAAGAGTTTCAGACCTGGACCATGGTGATGAGTAGCCAAATAGCATGAAACAGCTGTCTTTGAGCGGATCGATGAAAGGAACGCATGTTTAGTTTACCTCAATTGTCTCCCATAAACTTCATTTTTTATTTTTGAATATTTGCTGCTTTCGGTTACCTGGATATTCACCGCCATTTTGAATATCTATTTTCTCTTTACAGACATTCATGGATGTAACGTGGTTTTCAAGTGTTTCCCTCTTTAAGTGTTCGGATTAACAGTATCTAGATTGTGATCTGTGCATTAGTTTTTTTAGTTTTGCTCCGTTTAGCGGGGTGCTTGCCTCGAAAGAACTCAATGTAGTTTTTAATAATATGGTTAATTCATCAATATTGAAAAACTGCAATTATTTGATCAGCAAGTCCTGGAGAAGAACACTAACATTTCTTAAACTTGATATGAGCAAGGAACAAGCTTTCTTTCTGGCAATATGACAACTAGCACAGACGCCTTGTAACATTTTTTCGGCGTCAGTGATGGCAGATAACAGGAATGATGCCAATATAGCCGTAGGCTATTACCTGCTAGCTTAAACCAACATTTTCCTTAAATAAATTGTTTTGATTAATTCATATCCTGCAAGGAAGCAAAAACGAAAATAACGCATCATCTCTACTATAATCTAAAAACTTAGAACCAATAACACGTATCTATCTCATAATTCACGAACCTCCAAAATGTAGGTGATCTACATAACTTGAACTCGTGTTGTCATCTTCGCACGTGAGGTTATAAAAAAGTGAAGCGTTCGTGAAAAACAAATGAAAGAGCACAACACAGGCTATCATTAGAGAAGCACCGTTTAAGTACAGGAATGCGATCGAAGTGGGCTATGGAATCTAGTGCTTTATTCGGCAACTCAACCGCATGTCTAGATAACCAGAACTAGATGGATATGGAAGATATTTTATTCAAAGTCAAAGTCGTCATTGGCGTACGCACTTTATTTTCCGCATATCCTCCTAAATCACATGCAATGTTGTCATGCATTAAAATCCTGTTGTAGATTATGTTTCCAAATAATTTCCCATCGTACAATTCAAAGGACTAAGAAAAAATATAAAACGCCCGGAAAAGTAGAAGGGCTTAACACAACAAAGTGTAATCCTGGAATTAAGTAATCAACGTATGTATCAATTTAAAGGTACGTACGCTCCTATAGTGATATTTACAGGCTTTTCGGAAGCACCAGGTCAACGTTTATGGCCTGCCTTTTCGACATGTTCAAAAAATATTTTCATTGATGATGTCCGAAATATTATGTCTTCTGAAAACTGAAAATTCCTTTTTCTTTAATAATCTAGGAACGAAACTGAATAACAACATTTTGATACTGACCAACCAGTGCTTCACAAGATGGCGTCCACAAAGGCATAGGCTAACGCAAAATTGCTAAATTTTGCACACGCTGACAATTAATGGCTCAACTACGATATTGTTTGAAATCCTTATCATTCACCTAGGGAAACCTTCATATCAGAACTAGACTGTTTCTTCTCAAAAACAGCTCATTATACTGAAATCAAACATTATATTTCTTCAACTGAAGCATTGAACTTTTCAAAAATATTGTTTTTGGAACCATTGTAATTATAACTATTTGAGAAAACCCGATATCGTGTAGCGTTTTATTCAGGTACCTATATTTCCCAAAATAGAGAAATAGAGCGACATTTCAAAAAATCGTGAGAGGAATTATCCAAATGTTCATGTTTCAGAAACATCATAGGTATATAACGTCGCTTCTTTGTTTGGAAGGAGTTTGTTTGTTCATTTAAAGAAGAGTAATGATCAGGTTTACGCAAAATTAACTCAATATTTTATTAAAATCTGAATGCACGAATACAGATTCTTCGAAAAGGCTTAGTTCATCTTCAGAGTATATAACACATAAAAAATTAATTTATTTTAAACATGAATGATCTCGAACCAAATTATAGATTTTAGATTTACACTCAGGAGTTTCTCCAAGGTGTCGGATTGGCAGTTTACAATTAATATTGGAAGAGATGTCATTTTGTGCCTAAAAAACGACAACTTGCTTTTTCATGCTTATCTGAGAGAATTTGCACATCTTTAGAATTCCATCCCGTAGAGTCAAAATAGTGAAAAAACGATCTTTGCTCCTTAAAGAGCTTGAAGAAAGTATGCTAACGTTTACTTTTGCAGAAGGAAAATCTATGCATTTTTCAGTATTATTGAAGATGATTTTGGAGGAAAGCTGATAAATAATCAGCATTTGCCTCACTAGGAAAACTTCCAAATACTTACTTTCCTGTTTCTTAAGAGTCAAACAACGTTTCTTTTCATATATTTTATAACTTATCACAAAATAAAAATGTTATACACATATTTATGTATCTGTCCATAAGATGCGAAATGAATGATAGAGCATTGGTTTGAAATGTTTGAGGCTAGCATCTACGAATTTGAAAAAATCATACCTAGAATTTGTCACACAAATCGATGTTTAATCGCAAAGCGAGAAAAAGGTGACACAGTGCCTTTGGGTCTGCGGTGAAGTTTTCAGGACTAAGAAGTCTAAATTTAGAGCCCTAACAAATACTTTATCACCGTTAGAATATCAAAATCGTAGATTGCTACCATCATTTCCAAAGTATCCGGATTCACAAACTTGAAAAGTGTGAACACCTGCTTCCTTGCAAATTTTGGCATGAATAAATAAACCGTTCACCTAAAAATTGTAATTTTTTTAATCTAGAGCATTTTATACACATAAAGCAATTTTAAGCGATCCTCCAACCATAACCGGTCATGTTTGGTTTTGACCTTTTCATTTCAAGCGACACGGTTTGTAACAGCTGTCAAATAATGACGTCACGAGCTGGCGCTTTTCGATGTCACCGTTTATAACAGTTACGACCAATATAGTCGAAATCACGCAAGATTACGATTATGTCATCATTTTAGTCTGTAGTAAAGACAAACGTCAGCGATTTGTGAATATTTTTAATGAAGTTTCAGATATGTTAGACACAGACAAACAGAATTTTATTGTCTGAACAAACTGTACTGCTAATTTGGATTTATGCGACAAAGACAGACGACGTTTTCATGATGCATAATCGATCATATTTGAAAGATGAATAGTTAGGTTATGTTAAAGCAAGTTAGGTTGTTTTCGAATAATACTATGGTCTCTGGTGTTCCTGTCTTAAGGTATTCTACTCAAAACTGTTTTTTCAAAACAAAAACCCCCACTAAAAGTATGATTAAGGTATCACTCAAAAGCACGAAATAAAAAGAAAATAAAAATAATCGGTGAAATAACCTAACTTCGCAAAATCATAATATAAATTTGTTGTCATTATCTTCGCGTCATCATGATTTTATCATCGACGTACGTCCATCGATTACTTCAGTACAATTCACGGTATGACGTACTAGTCATCTTTCGTGATTTTGACTACACTTACCTTGATCATATGGTGATTTCTAGGTGACTCTTGTATGTCAAACGTCACTCGATGAATATAAAATAACCCTTTTCCTTTTGTGTTTGTCTTGTGCCGTCAGTGACTTTTTCCGTGAAAAGTTGTCAGTGAAAACAATTCGATGTCATTTCTGTTCGTTACTGTTCGTCAGAGCGGTCCAGCGGACCTTGCTCTTAATTAAAATTCTCATTAAATCATTTAGAGTAGAAAACGCTTAAGCATTATTGGTTTGACTATTCGAATAATTTTGTAACTCCAAAAATAATTTTCATCGGTTTCATATACTAAAATAATTCTGGTTGGTCTGAAATCCACAATTTTGATCACGTTGCGAGGCGC